ATCTCATTGATTAAGCTTGAATTAGGGCGCAATCTCCCTCTTTTCTGCTAGACATTACTTAAATTACTGTTCCAAAAAGTTTTTGACAGATCTTTTCCATTGGAGCAGACCAATTAACTCAAAAAAAATTGATGAGATCCATACAAAATGACAGGGATGAAAGACTTCCCCCAAATTGACTCCCACAATAAGTCAATTTGGAGACATTATGACAACTCCTTTATTCGTCACCATGAATGAATTGGGTACAGAAGGAGTCTCACAATATCAACAGATAGGGCATTGCTCCATTGTGTTCCCTGACTCACTCTCCCCTCTAAATAAATCCTGTCAGGTCAACTTGAAACAATGAACAGTTGCTCCAGAATTCTGAAATATTCAGGCCAATCAGTTTTTGATTTAAAAGGGGAAGGAAAATCTATATATCACTACCAATTGCTGCCCAAAATGCTGACCAAAAACTCCCCCAGCAAGGATGCCTTCAATGAGAGTGATTTTTTGCCAATTGAAAAGTTTTTGTATTTTGTGTTGATTCCTCAAGTGCTTGTGGAATTTGGAACATGACTCTGCGAATCTTTTGGGATCAAGAGTCCCTGTTGGCCATGTACCAACCAATTGAGTTTACCTTTATTTTTTATCTTTGTATAAGTGACATCTATACTCTGCAGCTGCAGCATCAAGCTCCTCTTTTGAGTCATTTGATGGGGCACCTACATTCGAATGGCTTCCACTTCAATCTGACCAAGCGAAGTGCAGCTTGGCAGTCATTCACCAATTTCTATTCCTCACAACTTATGCCCAAAAAAATACTGAAAATTTATCCTCATATTGTTTCAATTTGGAATTCTGTGTTCAGCAGCACAGAGTTTCTGTTACATTCCAAGAGATGCAATTTTTTCTTCGCATTCATCCTATTTTGATACAGTACTTTGTCAAAATGTATTGTTAACTCATCCTCTGATAAGTGGAAGAGTGAAGAATGCAGATGATGATGAAATAAATAGTCGACTCATTCGCAGACAGATGAAGGTTGAAATCTGGTGAATAAAATAGTTTTCTATGAATCAATATGCATTTGAGAAGCCTAATTATGTTATCTGAAAGCATGTTGTAAATAATGTAAACTTTTTTTCACGTGAGCCGAACATCTGAAGGACATTGAATAAAATTGATGGTTCCTCGATTTGCATTTTGGATTATGCAAGCTCCACCAGAAGCGGAAATTGTTCAAAGTGATGCAACCGGAATCATATCAATCCAGGAAAAAAAATTGAAAATATGGCGGCTATCGTATTTACGAGAAACACCAGCATGCCTCATTTATTCACAACTCCTTTTATCCGCCAAAAAATGACTAGACAGCCCAAAAAAAAAAAATTATTTACCTTCACCTCTTGTACCGACTTGGAATGCACAAAGCAGAATGCAGCAGTCAAGTAAGTTGTAGTCGGAAAATTCGGACAAAAATTTGATGAGAAATTACGTTAAATACGACGGCAGACATTCAGCAGTTTTCTCATATCTTGTTAGGCTCAAAAAATTGCAATCGAAAATTTTCCGAGTTTATATCAATGAGTGGCCGCAGCAACAGCTTCGTGGCCGGCTTCTTGGATTCCATTTGGGTACATTCCCTAAATTGAAAGAAAAAGCTCAATAAGATTAAGTCTAGAAGACTTTAACCGGGGAGATAAATTCGAAGATTTGTTTTTGCTACCAGTATTTTACCTTTGAACAGCTACAGAAAGCGAAAGTTAAACTCACTGCCCACTCCTTTTGCATGAGAAGAATGGTTGTGTTGTGCAGAATTGGACCAAACAGGGGGTTCATCTGGTGCATGTAAGTCGTCGCCCACCTGAAGAAATTCAATCCAAACAAAAATCATGTAATCCACGCTGGAACATTTTCGAAAACTAAATTGTCCAATTGATTACACCAATTCATGTGAGTGTTTTCTTCTATGATCCTGATTGAATGAAATATACTCACAGGAGTCCTATGCAGAAGCCGGAAATAACCAACGCTACTTGGTACGTTCTGCAATGATTTTTCGAGAACAATCGTTAATTAAATCAGAAATAACTGATCTGTTTACATTAACAGAAAATACACAACATGCCTCACCCTCGGTTTGGCCCTTTTCGCACGAGCAGTGGGAAAAGCAGCACGATTAGTCCGCAAATCACGGATATCGCGATGATAGGTTCAATACCAAAACCCATGTTCTTTTCAACACTTTTTCACCTACTGGAACGAGATGAATACTGTATATATATACTGTACTGTATATAGAAATTTTTCAAGTGAAAATGACACGAATATATATATATATATATATATATCCCAATAGAATTAGCTGCCTCTCTGATCCAAACTGCTTCTGCATCTTTTTATTGTTTTTAACAGACTGTGATTCAATTCTTTTAACCCCATTTGATACAGACTTTCCATATTCGTGATGTGCTCTGTGTGCTTTCATTTATAT